CACCAGTTTTAAAGCAATTATATGACACCATTTCAGTGGAACTACTCTCAGTTTAGAATGACTTAACAGAAACGATAACACTGCTGTACACAGAGCTCGTAAGATTTCTGGAAACCTCAGGGAACAAGATGATGTCATTGCATTAAAAAAATATCTAGTTCAAATTCTTTGTGAGTCTGCTTGACAAAGCTTACATGATCAGACTTCAACAGCGAAATTCAGGCTCCTCTGCCATCACTCCAGTGAGGAGTTTTCAAAACTGGTCTCTGTTCTTCAGTGCCTTAAATATGGGAGCACAGGAATTGTTTTCTTGTGCTCAAAATTCAAACTGAAGTAAAGGTTGTATAATTGCAGGAGCTAGTTTTAAAAAGATTGAGCATTCAAAGCATTCAAATTTTGAAGGTCATTTGAGCTTCTTGGCAAGACTTTCAAATCCTTTGAACAATTTAAACTAAACCCCCTTAATTTTGCAAAAGTCTTCCATACTCAAGTAACATTTTATGTAGAATGAAGACAATCAATAAAGCCTTTGAATATTCAGGACATTCTGCTATTTTACAGATTCTTGCAAGGAAACAATTTTTTATCATATCATTAACTACAATTCCTTTCCACGTATCCGAGACCAGTTCCTTTAAATTTCACCAAAGATGTACGCTGTACATCTAATTTTCAAGGACTAGTTCCTTCCATACCTTCTGATGAAAAATAGTGAAGTAACAGTTTATTATGAGGAAAAAAAGATGAAGACTGTAATCCCTTAAGCTGTTCTATGCAGGAAGACTTCTGCGGAGCTCCTTCAGGAATTAGGACTAGGATACAAAATATTTTCTTCTAGTATTTCTATGCAGAGAACTAGCTGTCAGCAACTTTTAGTACAGAGTGACTGCTGAAAAGGTGAGTATTGTGCTGCCAGGGCATCACTGGCAGAGTTCCACGAGGATCAGTGTTTGTTCCTATATTGTCTCATGCATTTAACAACCACAGGAAAAGCAGGAATACACTGATGAAATCTGCTGATAGCATCAATTAAGGAGGTACCACCTATACCTAGGAGGATGAGAAAGTCTGGGATACTTATAGCTGAGCGTATGTATACATCCAAAAACATGGCTGGACACCGATTCAGCTATCTGTATGAAATTTATGGGCATCCTAGGAGGAGTGTCCAAAATACAGATTGGTAAATTTATTTTTAGGTATTACATGACCTAATGTGTGCAATACCCATGGGAAAAGACTTCCAATTTTATGTTAATAACCTCTGAAATCTTTCTTTTGTCAGGAGTTACTAAATCCAGAGGTCATTAACAGCACCATGAAAACATACCTGTTAAATAACAACATCACTGAAGAGTTACATACCTTCTAATGAGCTGTGAATTGGAGATAAATCAGCAAGTGACCTGCATGAGCAAACATTATTGATTAGTAAGCTGCCATGAATTAATTTCATATTTCCAGTGCATGTAACAATGAGAAACAGTTTGAGAACAACTTTGATTTAAAACTACATTTGTACTTTGATGCATTTTATAATTACAAAAAAGAAACAGCTGAACGAGGCTTTTATATTTATACACTTCCAAGCAATGTACAGAAGGCATGCATAATTTCCAACCGTAAAATACTATTTAAAAATAAAAGATTTATAATTGCTTTTCCTGATTTGAGAATCAAGTTAAGATTTTTCACATTGTCCTTCATAATCCAAACACTATGCAAATGACTAACCGAGCAAAGAGTAAGAGAATGAACAATATGGCATAGCATAAGTCAAACACAGCAGTTTTGTGTTATCCTTGGAAGGATGGGGATATAGCCATATAATTCTTAGAGTGCTTCCAGCCAAGCATCTGAAATCTGCATTGGTGCTGCTACTGAGCAGTATTGCGATAATTAGGCAGAAGTACTATACAAATTAGAAGGTCTTTTTAGTTCAGAGGGCCTACAGGAACAGGAGGCTTGTGGGTTTGTTTAATACTTCAGCGTATCTGTAGTAACTAGCCCAAGTTTCTTCCAATACATCAGCCACAGCCCAAGTGAAATGCAGAGGATACGAGGCCTGAAATTTCCAGTCAAGAAATTCTAGATACAGATTCCAAAAACATCGTAAAAGTAGACCAAATTGCTGCAGATGTCTCCTTAAAACCTACCTCCAACAGAAACAGAGATGTGTCGAGTGTTTTCAGCTTCTTCCTCAAGTATAAAAGAGAAAGTTTATAGTTAGATGGTATGTGTAACTAAACACCAGGCCACTTAGCTCTTCCAAACACTTAGTTCTTTGCCTCATGAGATCTGATGTCTACGTGCCCGTCCTTTCCCTCTCCCGGGGTTACCACAGCATTTCTGTATTTAAAATTTTTAATTAAAACAGTATATCTGTTTCAATTCAGAACAACGCAGGACTGATTTTCAAAACTGCTCACATATTAGGCACTGGTCTCAGTGTGAGCTGCATACCTAAACACTTTTAGAAAAATATCTGAGCCAAGGAAAACAGATGCCATTTCTGGATGCAAACTAATTTATTCAAGAGCATATTTTGAAAGAAAACCCTGTATCTATTTAATTTCAAGCTTCTCCTAAGAGCTACAGCAGCATTAACTAGGGCAGTATTTTCCTCAGGTTTCCTGGGAGGTAAAGCCAATTTCCAGACAGCAGGACTTCCCTGCGGTGAGCACTAATCGCCACCGAGAAATAATGATACCGCAGTACCTATATATATTTATGTATATTTCTTAATTTCCTTCATTATTATTGCCTTCCCAGGTTAATTTTAATTGAGGCTTTAAATAAAAAGCAACAGGAACCATAATCCCCCCCCCTCCCCCGGTTTGACGGGCCCGGACCGCGGCATGTCCCCGGCCCTGAGGCTGAGGCGAGTCCCCCTCACCGCCCCACAGGGGACCCCCCCAGCCGCCTCCCCGTCCCCTGAGGGGGCGAAGGCCTCGACAAGCCGCGGCCGCTCGTTGCCAGAGCAACGCCCAGCCCGGGGCCTTCCTCCTCCTCCTCC